CTTTGTGTGGTCCACAAATTGTTGTTTCGGGTCTGGGTGTCATGTGTATGTGAACTTGTATGTTTGTAAACGCACCCACGACACAGGAGAATAGCCTAAAGTAGGGCAACGTTTTTTAAAAAAAAAATGGTCGGCCCTTACCATCTCTTTCTGTCTGGTCATTTGCCACAAAATACGATTGAACAATTTCAATTTCAATTGACTGCCTCGTTGGCCGAATGGTCGTAAGTGCGACTGCCGGGCAAGGGGTCTCGGGTTCAATTCCCGGGTCGGGCAAAGTTTTACTGGGTTTTTTAAATATCCTCAGTATTAGCACGAATTGTGCACGGTATATGGCAATAGGCTCACCCTCTATTACATTGTACAGTGGTATAACCCTTCGGGGATAAAAGGCTTGATGTTATGTTACAATTTCAATAGTCGACTAAAACTTTTCGCAGAACCTTTGTAATTGAATTTGGATTGAAAATTTCTTAGTATCTGTATTAAAGCTGAGATCATCGTTGTTACACGTTAAAACTAATTGACAATTTCCATTTTTTTTCAAACGCTTGTTATCGGAATGGTTTCTAAGAATCTTATAACTGTTACCTTATAGTTCTGGGATTTTAAGAGTGCACCAAATGTTTCCTCTTCTCCTCTGGGAGATTTTAATCTTGTGGTTTCCCATCTTTTTTGTTACAAACTTACAAACTAGCTTCTGCTAGCAGCTTTGCCCACGTTTCTGTGGAACGAAAAGTATCCTATGTGTTAATTCAGACCATAACCATTTCATGAAGATCCGCGATAACAAACAAATAAACATACAAACTTTACAAATGTATAATATTAGTAGGATTTGCAGACAGATTTAAAAACAGACTTTTAAAAGAGTAACGAATGGAGTTCTTTGCTCGTTCTTCTCCACTCGAATCTACATTTTGGTATGAGCGCCAGCTTCATTGACGTACTTATTTTATTTTATAATTGGTAACGATTCAAAAGTACATACCTAATTGTGGTTTCATTGACATAAAAGCTTTTGAGTTTGAGTTTGCCATTGGCGTTTAGCTACTATCTTAGATAGTGGTAAGCGATCTAGTCTATAATGGAGCATGCCTGCCAATAAGCAACCTATTCACTACAGCTTTGGGGCACCTGAGACACTTCAGAAAACCACCCAGCTGACACCCTTTGGGAAATCCATCTAAATTTCTGTCATTATCACAAAATCATGGTTTGATTCTCGTCCGTATACATTTTAAGTCGTGTTCTAACTTGTGACATAGCCTAGTAAGTTGGTAATTTGCAATAGATCAAAGTCAAAGTGTAGTTGACTTCATAACCAACACTATGATGATAGCATCAGTCTATTTATAGAAGCTAAGACTTCTTGTAATAGTGACAAAAATGTAAAGCTGTACACACACTTAGGGAGTGCATCATGTCGAACTTCCATGAACTTACATTCTCTTCCTCTTTGACAAAAGGTTGAAAATCCACGTTTTTTTTTGTTAAGAACAATGAACTTATCGAACTTACGATAATCGGGAGAGATATTTAAATTAACGGAGGCTGTAATTGCCACTGAACTTGAAAAAAAAATCATATCGTTCGTTGTATAAAATACGTAATGAAAGGATTGTTTATATTAAGCTGTTTTTATGAAACAAAGTTCACCGCCGCATCTGTCTGTCTATCTTTTTAAATGCGATAACTACAAAAACTGCTGAATGGGTTTCGAAGTGATTTAACATAACGTTTTAGTGTGTGTTTTTTATGAAGTACAAAGTCGGGTTAAGTTACTAGTTGAACTATAAAACTACTGTCAACGTATTCTAGTCTTGTTTTGATGGTATCTTGATTATTGTCAAGTAGTGGTACTTGGGTAAGTTTCCAGACGTGATAGAACAAGACTATGTAATACTTACTGTCTGTGTGGAAGGACAGAGATGGTTATGTTGCCATTTAGGTTGTTTTACCGCTAATTATAGTTCCGTTTTTGAAACGTAAGGTTATTTTTAAATAGGTAATCCATTACGCAGTTCATCATTATTTTCAGCGTTGTAACTAACCTACTAAATAAATATATTTCGATTCACCGTATTTAAAAAAAAAATCTGCCTCGTTGGCCGAGTGGTTGCAGGTGCGACTGCCGGGCAAGGGGTCTCGCGTTCAATTCCCGGGTCGGGAAAAGTAATACTACCCAGTATAAAGTTTAATAAAATCTCATTAATAGCACGGAGTCTGGAATTGCGCCCGGTATATGACAATAGGCTCCTTCTCGGTTCCTTCTCTTGCACGTCGAGCTGGAGCCCCGGTAACCCGTTAGGTTCTCAAAGCGAACACTAGGTATTGGATTTTCAAGCGTCATGTTCATGGTTCAAAAGGTACCCAAGAGTCCTGTTACGGGTGGGTGGATGAACGTACGCCTTTGTAGCAGAGCCCCTTGGGGCATGGGACCCTAATCAATGACTGTGTTGGCATTCACCTCCAAGTAAGCTCGCTCTCCCGGTAGCTTACTGTTAGTGAGTATATCTACTTGTTATAGCTTGAATGATATTATAAACCATTCTTATTTATAGAGATTTAATTATAAATATAAAAGTAGATTTCAAAAGTAAATTGTGATTGATCATCCATTATTGTAAACATTTTATTTTTTACCTTCGGCTTTCCTCGCGTGGATAATGGCAAAAATGGCCATAAACTATATCATATCTAATTTTCCTCAGACACAAAAATCTTATCACGAAATCATTCTGTTGTGACAACAATCGACTTGACAGCAGAGGTGCACATTACGGCACATAAAGTCACTGTACAACACCCACTTTTCACTATATTATATTATGAATTCCACATGGAATAGGGGGTGAACCTATTGCTATATACCGAGCACAATTCCAGCCTCCGTGCTACTACTTACTGAGATTTTTTTTTAATTCCCTGTAATATTTTGCCCGACCGAAACCGAGAACCCTTGCAGTAGTCTTTGTCACTTGCAATATTAGGTATTAAGGATTGAGCTATTGTCTTGTTGGTCAAGTAATCACAAGAACGAGGAGAACACTAAACGGATTAAAAAATGAACCCGTGGCGTGTAAAACCAGTGTGAAAGGGCATGATAGGAAAATTTTATCAGTTCCAAATAAATTGTGAGTCATCGGATTTTGCGTAAAATACTTAACACATGCTTAATATTTTATACGCGAGCCATAAAACCTTATAATATAAGTGGCTGTATAATTAACTTTCAATATCGCGGTCAATAACTGACTCACTGCATTTACTATTCATGATATTAAGTAGATAAAGCATAGGCTGAATTTGGGTACTGTATTATAGTGATATATGCCTACGTATTTATATATGACTACCATTATTGTATTAATAAACGGTGTGTATGGTTATTTAAGATCATTTAAATTGGCGAAAAGTTATTGTTTCATATGTGTTCGTAATCGTAGATGGGCAAAGTGAAACCATTTATTTCAATTAAACCATAATTTGGTACTTTTAAAACGTCAACAAATACATACAAAATAAATTATAGTCCGTCAATGTGTTCGCCAATGAAGCTAGGTGCTCGGTCCAACATGTAGATTCGAATACAGAAGAACGAGCAAGAATCTCCGTTTTCCTCCAAAAAATATGTTTTTCAATCTCTCTGATACATTATCCAATATCGTTCATATATGTGAGAACAATGTAAAGACACGCTTGAAGCATAATTAGATACAAAACTTACTAAAATAAAAAACAAAAGAAAAAATTTAAAATCTTATATTCTAACAAATGATGCTCACATAATTATGCATACTGACAATCCATAAAAATAGTATAGTGCTTCTATACAAGAAAAGAGAAACTCTTTGCTTCAATAAAGAAAGGATTGCTCGATGCCATAAGAAAACTAAATTATCTACATTAATTAAAAATCGCGGGTTACTCACGTGAATATACTGAGAAAAGCTCTACTTGTTTCGAACCACAGAGGGGTTCTTCTTCATGAGCAGCGTGCGCGTACGCGGCGATGTCGCGCAGCCTACTGATATATTCACGTGAGTAACCCGCGATTTTTAGTTAATTTAGTATGTCTCTCTCACGATAGTTATTATAAAAACATAGATTATTTACATTAGAATCAAAGTGCGCTCTCGGAGTAACTTAAAGCCAAACTATTTTTCCCCATTAGATACATTACTACCTATCAGGTACCTATTGTACAATAGCTACGTTCAAAGAAGCTTTAAACATGCGTAGGTATTCAATAGAAACATCTAAATAGTCATAAGTAGCTTTTATGGGCCATAAAATTAAGTGTTGATATTTGACCCTGCACTTATTTAGATACTTAGCATTTTATTAATAACTAAGAAACATATTATTTCCTGATTATTTATTAAAACTAAGGAAGTTATTAAAAATCTAGAACTGTATTCTAAAATTTTTGAATGAATCAGATCATCTGTGAAATCACGTTTTATGGGCCCAATAATATACGCTACGAACTCAGTAATCTAAATATTTATGTTGATTTATCGATGTGCTGTGTTTTATGTGAAAGCTAATATTGTATTATTAACTTTAGGCTGTGTTTTGCCACGTTTTTCTTAATATAGAACTACATAACTTGATCGAGTTATTATTCAAAACTGAAAATATTATGTCTACGTAATTGCTACGCTGAAAGTTCATGAAGGAATGTTTTTGATATAACGTGTGTTTTAGTTTAGAAAAGATACAATTAAGGCTATTAAATAGATTAAATGAATGCAAGTATGGACTTTAAAACTTAGTTTACACTTTTCAGAACTTGTAAAAGTAGATAGAATGTTTCCAATCTTTGATCAACTGTAGGAATACATGTACCTACTGAAATTTATTCAGCAAGGGTCTGTAATGTAAAGAAGAAGACAGGTAAGTGAGGTGTGAGGTCACCTTTAGCAGTCATGTGGACGTACGTGTCGGCGCCGTCCCCCCAGCGCGCGCGCACGCGGCGCATCCCCGCTACGCCGACTATAAAAGACCAAGCCCAAACTTGCCGCGCGCTATTACAACAGTGACTCTGTGATTTTTCCCGCCGCGTATTTATTTAAATCAACAATAAAGGTAAGTGAACTTGACTAAGGGTACAGGGATGATTGGGGAATATTCAAGGATAGATTAACCTTTAGGAAAAAAATATAATAAAAAAACACGTTTGCGCAACAAAATTAAGCTTACAAGTCGGCTTGAAAAGTATTACTTCACGCACAATCAACTCAATGCATCTTATTTTGATAATACGTCGTTGCATAAGTGCGAGCTTCGAGTTAAATTAAAGTCGCACCCCGCGGTTATCGTAGACGAGTCGAGTTGCGTCAATTCATTCATGCGATGATTGCTCTCGTCAAATTTGACGCGAAAATTACTAAGTCCGAGAGTGTCCTTAGAGTACGCAGACTGTTGCGGATTACAGGCACTGTACACAGTATGTATGTCAAGCCGCAGTTGCAACACAGCACTGATGCTGAGAATATGTCTGAGAGCCCTTTTCTATGAGGTTTCGTCACGTGCTAGACTTTCAACTGATGAGACTTATCGGTTACTGCGCCCGCCTCGACTACACTCGAGGACACAATGTGGTGCCACCCGAAGAAAATCAAATGTGCGAAACTTAAACCGCAACTCAGTGACGCTGCAACGAGTTCGTCCTGCGGTTTAAAATAACCTTAAGAATATTTAAATAATTCGTTAATGTTAAACATCAAAATAGTGTTTCAAAATATAACTTTGTGGAGTGTGGAGGTCGACAACACTGAAAGATGTGGACTTTCAAATATTTATTGTATACGACACGAAAATATGTGAGTTAAGTAATATTCGGGTGTCAAGTCAATGGAACCTGTTTTTGATTATTAACATTACTGATAAACGATCGCCACTAGAGTCGGCGGCGTATTCGTGGACGAGGCGATTTAAAAATAAAAAAGTCCAATGACATTATTCCGTGCCAGCATTACAATACTTAAGTCGAATTAGAATATCATAAATAACAGAATTAATAATGAAAACGTGACAATGAAAATAACTTAATAATAGTTTTTTTTTATAAAAAGATTTAATATTTTATGTGGTCAACTTTATCGTAAATCAAACTTCGATTATTTTTTCGTGGAAAATGTTATAATCGGATGATTATTACATGAAAATCGACTCATATACATATAAAAACGTCATAGTTTGACATTTTGGACCAGAATGTAGATCAGAATGTTTATATTATGTTAATATTTGAGTAAAATTGAATAATAATAATAGTAAACAAGAATCTAGAAATCTATTAACGATTAGCCTAATTTTAAACCTACGCACAAAAATAAAACTATGAATAATATTATTGAAATAAGCAGTCTGGTATAATTTTTTTTTTTTTCATTCCGTGTCCATAGAGTCATCTTCATTATTAGTTTGATTTTCATTATAATCAGACGGAGTACATCCACGGGCTTAGTCATTAAAGACGGGTTTGCATAAGCCCTACTTTTGGGATAAAGAAATAAACAATGCAAGTGAAATACCTCTTTAACTCGTCGAATACCGTTATTATAGACACAATCATAGAACAATAGGTTGCGGTCGCCGGTGACCGCTTGGTGTTTTACAGTTTAAAAAACATTATTTTTACGTTTTTTTTAACGTTGCCCCATACTAGGATTTTCTCCTGTGTCATGGGTGCGATTACAAACGTACAAGTTCACATACACATAACACCCAGACCCGAAACAACAATTTGTGAATTATACACACACAAATTCAAATTGGTATATCCAATATGAATGTTGTTATTATTAATAACCGTAATATTATTATAGGCAATTGGGTACTGGCCAACTAGTCAAATTCAATACTTTTTTCAAATTGTGTATTCGATATTGTCTCGATTTTGTAGCGTCAAACTACATACTTATTTCTTAAAAATTCGTTGGAAAAATATTAAAATTAAGTTGGTCATAGAATCAATTAATGAAAGTATCATTATTTTTACATTTTTTATTGTATTTAACAGTCGAAACATTTTATTTTTGATTAACGAAAGTATCCAATTACAATGACATTTAAAATGAGAACATTTTGTTATAAAAGGATTTTTTTAAAGTTATAGAAGGTTCTATAAAATGAAAAAAAAAAAACACTAGTTTTTTTTTTCATATTACACATAGGCACCAGCCTATACAGCTTACTTGTGTAAGTACAGATGTGTAGTGTTGTCATCCCATTAAGTTATTTAGTGATGCTATTCATATTAATTCTAAATCCAAAATGACCTGGAAGAGACTAAGTAGAACAGATGTGTTGATATAAATAGATATTTACAAAAAACTTAATCCTACAAGGAAGTAAATTCAAAATATAAATATACTCTAAAATACACGATACTAAAATAAATTATGAATAACTTCAATGAAATTTTAATTCACGTAAGTAGTTTAGAATACAATAGAAAAAAAAATGTAGCGGAAGACTTAACGGGTTGCCGGAGCTCCGGCTCAAAGTGCAGGAGTAGGAACGGGGTGGTTTTTAGTCAGTAAGAGTCTGACACTCCCTCCCGCCTCACCCGGGCGGGAGAAGTCATTGGACGATATTCCCCCATCAAAAAAAAAAAAAACGTGTCGTACTATGTTGTATGTATACCTATTTTGAATTATATTAAATTTATATGACTTATTTTTAAATCATGATTTATTTAACCAAAAATAGACGATGCAATGTCGCGTAGCCGATGCACGATGCTTATGAGGAAGAGCCCCCTCTGTGGCTCGAAACTAGAGAGCGTGAGTAGACCTGAAATTTCTTAGTATATTCACGTGATTTCTAGTTAATTTAGTATGTCTCATGATAGTTATTATATAAACATTATTTATTCATTGCCGTTAAATTATAATTTTGATCACCGGCTTAGTCGCGTGATTTAAAGGGTGACAATAAATTACTTGCAACAGCCTCGGGTTGAGATTAGGTAGGATAACATTACGCTTACAATTTTTTTAATACGGGATTTGGAATTAGTATTAAAACAGGCAAATAATTTATATTTCTTCCAACTCCTAATATAAGAGGCGAAAGTTCCATATCTCTTTAGATCAATTTTACAAATACACAGGACAAATACTACATTTTTTCAATTCTTAACAATTTTATTATAACTTATTTTTAAACTCAAAATAGAATCAATAGTATCGATTAGACCAAATAGTGTAAAAGTCAAACATTTAATAAAATATCTGTCTACTTTTGAATATATTACAATTCTTTAAAAACTTAAAAGAACGATTGTATACAACTGACAGGATTTGAACCTGCGACCTCGAGCGTACAGGGCTAGCGCTGACAACTGCTAATGCTAATGAGAATCAGTTAAGAACAATACTTTAACTGTCATATCCCGAGGTTATCTCTCTAACTTATTTCCTTTGCAAACTTTAACTAAAGTGAAGATCTAAGTTCTAAGTAACTAACTTAAATAAAGTTGTTGTAGATTAGAACTTTTTTGACACTCATTTTCCACCGCTTTTTACAAAATAGAAGGTGGGCCTCTTGCCATAACCACAATTTCAGAATCCATGATATATTATATTACTTGGACAGTTTCGAAAACATACTACTTTTTATTATGTTTTTCGGTTTATTCACGAAATTATTTACCGAGGAACTCGACTAGTTTCAAGCCATGCTAGAGGCTCATATTCATGAGCAGCATTTCGCGATCCGCGACGCGACGACTGTCATGCTGCTACTTTAACGCCAAAAACATAATTATTATTAATTTAGTATGTCTCACGAAATTTATAATATAAACACATTATAATGTTCATTACAATTGAGAATCGAACACGAAACACCTAACTCAGAAATAGTACTAAACCAAGTACAAAATAAGTCAACTGCAGCGAATTTAAATAACGAACATATAATAAACGAAACGAGTAATTGATAATGTTTTCGCATTTTCCTTTTAAAGTGTCGCAACCAGAAAATCTTATAACCGATTTCAAAAAGTAGGAGGTTCTCTAGAACACTGCTTAGTACTTGCTCCTAAGTACACTAGACAAGTAGTCAAACTTGGTTTAAGTAATTTTTAACCACAAAACTTTAACTTTGAAGCTTTGTTACTATGTTGTGAAGTCGTGACTTAACTAATTATAATTATTTAGGTAGATCGTCCTACAAGACGGATGGAGAGCAATTTATGATTTTTTTTTTGTTAATTCGCAAAGTAATCAAGTAGGTTATAAATAAATTTCGGACTTTACTCCCCTCGTGAATGAAAATTAAGTTTAAATTACTTTTTATACATTCTTTAGTGATTTAGTAGTAGTAGTGAATAGTAGTTAACCTTTTTAAAGTATAGGTTTTATGACATTGGTGTTACATAAATTAATATACATATTTCTTTTTGAGTGTTATACAATTTAAAAAAAAAACTATTCACTCTAGGTAATTGCTACACAAATAAAAGAAATTTTTCAGATGTCGAGACAATAAAATAAATTGTTAAAAATAAGATTTACAGTTAGCACAGGAATACCTGAGTAAAACTTAACAGGTTAACAAAAAAAAAACGAATTCTGACCATATCTTTGGCCAAATAACATTGCCTAATCCACTTTATCAATGCAATCACATCTAAATTGTTGCTAATTCTAAATTAACGGCTTTCCTTTAAAAATAGAATTATAAAACGGATGCATCAATTTATTTACTTGTGACAGGTCAATTAGTTACCTTCATTTCAGTTAATTGGACGACAGTATTATGCTTGGGGACATGTTTATATTTTAACTATTTAATAAGTAATTATACTTTAGATTTTATCGTTAGTAGTTTGTAGGTAATGATGAGTTTGGAATCTGTAGATTTACCTATGCTTTGCAATAGACTTCATAAGCTCAGCTTGAGTTAGAGGTACGGTGATCGCTTATCAGGCAGGCTAGGCATAGGGTTAGCATTATATATCAACGCTATCAATAACGATAAGGTAGTTCTCTTAGAACCATCACGTGTTGTAAAGAGGTTTCTGTCTCTAGAGGCCTACTACAGGCAGTTTAGACCATGCTCCCGCTACTGGT